TTTATTAGGCTTACAAACTTAGTTTCAGTGATGCCATATTGTTCTTTCATTTGGCCGGAATAGCAAGCTGCTTTCGATCTGTACAGGTAAGCCATTTAATTTGTATATTACACAAATGTTTCCGTGAACTGACAGTTTTTAGGTTAGAAAGGTGCAAAAGTGCAGAATCACTCCAGCATCCCCTTAAAAGCTTTACAACACGTTTCATTCATTTTTATCCATAACGTATTGGAATTAAATGGTTGATATAAAGAAGCATGTAAATCTCTGTAAATAGCATTATGTGTTTCTCAGAAACACGATATATGTATAATGGGAACAAATCCCAAATTCAAGTAGCAGAGGTCACTCCGAGAGATATTGTCGACCTCGTTAACGAGACTGTATCTTCAAGCCTTGCCGAAATCTTTGAATGGAAGATAAGTGACTGAATAAATTTACATACCTTATATTATTTTCGATTAAAATAATATTGTATTTGCATTTTTTAGCTTTAAATTTTTAACTTTAAATTTTAACCTTTTACCTTTTAATATCACACATAGAAATTTGTAAAGAAAATTATAATCGACAATCATTAATAAATAATTAATAATTAATATTCAAAGATTAATAATTATAAATGATAATTGACTTAACCATAGACTATATATATGTAAACTTAATAAAATATATTGGGGATAAAAATAAGACTTCCATTCTCATATGCGCGATTGTCACGCAGGGAAAACTATTAATACTAGATTCAACATTGAATTTACTTTATATTATCAAACACTTGGTTTCATAAGTCCAAAACATCTGTTTCTAAATTGGGGTTAGATTGCAAGCTTAGCGATAGACAATCACATTAAAAATTCATCTCACGCGTTTCGATAGCGGCCCGAAACGCCGAGCCAATAGTCACGTACGAAACTGTAAGATGAGTTCATCGAGAAAAAGAAGGAAGTAAGTATCTATCTCGAGAAACAACTGGTCGCGAAGGCCACGCATCATCATATATAAGAGCTCAGTGGGACGGCTATCATCAGTCTGTCCTGAGTTGTTCGAGTGAAAGCAACACGAATTCAAAGACACAAGCATGGCCCGCGTCGTAGCTTTCCTCTTCCTCATCGTAGCAGTTGCTGTCATCGGTAAGTTCGATATAATAATTAACAAAATTGTTAAATATCGAAATTTTACTTGTGAATGGTGAAATTTTGTCGTGATAAGTAAGAGTGTGCAAGTATTAAATTGATGCAAAAGATCTTGTAATAATAATTCATAAATTCTATTTGTTAAGTAAAACGGGAGAAGTAACGAAGTCCAAATGAGAGCATAGCCACTGACTTCGCTATATTCCTTTCAAAAAACTCCGTATTTGCAATTACAGAAATAAGTTTATTCATAATACAGAATTTAATAAAACAAAACATTTTTTATATTAATCTAACAACAGATAGATTTTATATTAATCTAACAATAGAATTGTATAATCGTATAAATATTATAAATATAGAATGATAAACTTTTTGCTGACAGCAAGAACGCTAGCAGCCGTTTTATAGAACTTGCTTCAGAAATATTTATGGAATATTAGAGACAGGAAGAGGGAAACTAAGAATATTTTATATAATATTTCTTTTATAAAAACGTATTGCGTAAAGGATATAATAATTAGCGCTTAAATTAACTATATTTGCATAGATGCTGCGATAAAGTGCAGTGAAAATGAAGTATTCACTAACTGTGGCACAACGTGTCCACCTACCTGCCAAAATCCAACACCTAAAGTCTGTACACTGGTTAGTATTGCATCCTCTAATGAAAAAAATATATTAAAAAATTTTTTAATATTTTCATTAAATATAGATATATTTTAACACAAGATTTTCTTTCTTCATGTAGACAAAAGAAGTACCTGACTCAATCAGTTTTTGAAAATTGGTAGTTTAGTTTAAAATTATGCATATTTTTAGTAAATGAAATTTATAATATATTTTAATTAATTTTACTTAAATAATACTTTTGTACGTTTTATTTTTTATTTTATTTTATTATAATAATATTATAATAAAATAAAATATATTATATTATATATTATATTATTGTTTTACTTTGTTTTATAGGCCTGTCTTCCTGGATGCGAATGTGTAGAGGGATATGTACGAAATACGGCAAATGAGTGTGTACTTACGCAAAATTGCTAATCCGTCAGAAAAATGATTTTCGAACGAGTACAGGATTTCTAAAATAATACATGAATCCAATCGATCTTTAATTGAAAGTCTTTTCGTAGATTGGTGACACAAATGTTTACATACAAATGTTTACATACATAACTTGTTACACAAATGTTTAAAGTTGTTTACTGAAAAATTATATTACTCATGTATTACTGAATTGTTTAATTTAGTAACATTGACAAACTACATTTCATATTTTTAATAAAAAATGTTTAATGTTTATAAAATTATTTATTATTTATCGTATTCTAAAACCTTACATATCCGTGACTTTTTACAAACCTTCTTAATATCAAATCTATCAAATTATTACATGTTTTAATGTTATGAAACATATAAAATAATATGCTTATAATGTTAAAACAATAATTATTTTCTTAACTTTGTAAAAATCTAAAAACAGTAAATAATAAGTTTAGTTACTAATTGTAAGTATATATAGTTATTTGAAAATATTTTATATAATATTAATATTCAGCGGAAGATACTGAAAATATATATATCAATAAAAAAACTCAGGGAAAACTTAGCATTTTACTGAATTCACACATACATATATGTATTATATATATGTATATATAACGTAAACTAGACTTCTAACGACTGTAAGTGTTTAATCTTTCGGTTGTCGCTGATTTTTATGTTTTGTAGTCCATTATGTATTGAATAAAATATCACTAAAAATTATAATTTTCTTACAATTTTAAAACATAACAGTAAAATATCTTTATAAAATGTAAACATATGTGTGACCTACATGACAATATGAAAGTTTATATACATCTCTCCCGTCCGTCCTCCTTCCTCCCCCCCTTTTTCTTTCCCTGTCTCTCCCTGTCTCTCTCTATCTACACCTTTTGTCTCTCTCTCTCTCTCTTTCTGCGCTCCCCCCCCCTTTTCTGTTTCTGTCCTTCATTATTATTTTAAATGAAGAAAAATTATTAAATTATTAATAACCAACCAAACAATGAACAAAAATCGGATTGTAATAACATTAAAAATTAATATTCAAGATATTTTGCTATTTTTAATCGCATGTTATCAGATTATGTCTGATATCTGTAATTTCCATAAATATTTAATTCCGTCTTTCATGACAAAACGTACGGAAATATTGCATAATACAATATATTTATTGTATTTCTACTTTATGATTGCAAGAAAATCCAGATAACAGTGCAGATACGCGTCTTGCAGATAATTGGCACTCTATAATCTCGGTCAGCGCATTTTTGCATTGCACACGGATAAATTCCGAAAAAAGGTATGTTACGAATGACACACATTGGTTTGAAACGATGTTGACAAAAAACGCATGACGTGATCATTCTGATGAAAGTGATATTACATTTCGATGACGATACCATGCATGTCGACGTGATTACACGTCAATATGATTAACTTCGTTACGTAGATATATACCTACATGGACCGTGGTCGAATATTTCAAATTAATTAATGCACTGTGTAGAAAAAAATTTTAATATCATTAAAGTATGATTCTATTGTAAATAGGCATTGCTTTCTACGAATGACGTGCCGTTGATGAAACTTTAATATCTATGTTTTTCTCATCATATCTGGCGTGAGAATCATGTGCTAATTTACATATGTACTCTGGGTACGACACGCTACCACACTTTCATTAATCATTTTATACAACCGCGAGACAGCAATTTACATATCATATCAATTCAAAAAGTAACGCGATTTGGCAACATTTTAATATTGTTATTATTTGCATGAAAAAATAAAAGTCACGTGGAGATAGAAGTTAAATATCGAATTGAAGACATGCATTAATAGCAGTAGAACATTAATAGAAAAAATAGAGATCGTAACGGTAATATCATATCGAGATTCTGTAATTTAATATAGGTTTCAATCCTAAAATCGGATTAGTCACATGACCGGATGTCTTTATTAATTAAGGACGTAGTTAATATCTCAGGCATCTTATACCCTCGTCATATAGCTCCTCCACTTCCCGACCGACAGCCCAGAAAACTGAACCCTGCCGTAAGGCAATCTGTCATTAATAGAATTAAGCAAGCGCGTTATTACGCGATTCACAGGCAGATGAGAAACTCACGAACTATTCCTACTGGCGTATTAATAAATAATCTAATCTACGAAGTGATTTCCGATATAGAGAGACTGAGTCAGTTTTACAGCGACACATATCACTGTCAAGATGCATAGGCGCAGAGAGACGCGAGCGATAACTTATCGAAAAGGTGCATTTAGCAACCATTGTCAGGAAGATTTTAACGAGGTCTCGCTATATTATTAATGCCACTGAATCTTCGGAGGCTGTATCGGTTAATACACCGGTATCATGTTGTGTCATATCGATTTTTTTTCACGTGCACTACCCTAAACGGGACAAACATCCAACGTATGACGAACAATGGCGCAATATCCCAGTTCGTTCCTTCGGAGCAGATATTTGACATTCGACAAATACCGTGGTCGGCGCGCGTGGCCATCGCCCCATCGCCAACATCTCGAATCGTATGGTCGAGAACCCTCGGAGAGGTCTGAATCGTCAGTTTTAGAGGGAAGCACGGGGTGGTGGGCGATCGACAAGGACGAAGGGGAAGAAGAGGAAACTCGAGGCATATTCGGCTACCGCGTTTCCGGTCGGTCGATTCAATATGCCGGACTGATAAAGCCGAATGTCGACCGCGCAGAGACAATACGGCGTTCGAGGATGGCGAAGGGAAAACATTTCGCGTAGCCGGTCTGTTGTCGACGCGCCGTCACTCGGTGGGGGCAGGAACGAGCTTTCAATGCAGAAGACTCTCTGCTGCGAGAGGAAGATAATTTCCAAACCATTCGCACGTAAATCATGCGATCGATTGTTCTCGTGGATCGTATACGTCGGAAAAATCGAATATAATCGCATTGTTATTTAATTGTAGCTTGTACAATGTAATTGGTGTATATAATAATTTGTATGATAGAAAAGTAAGTTACGCGAAACATTAACAGTACTTAATTGGCATCGCCATTTTATTATGTATTCATGATTTGGGGCGTGTTTTAAATTGTATTCCATCTCATTTTTATGCCACGCGATGTTTGTACAGATTTCCTTAACTAATCTAGCGAAAAATTGCATGCATACAGAGAGAAAGCCAAGTAGATTAAATATCACGATTATCTTTCTTATCATCTCGTGTCGATAAAACACAGTACTAAATTAATCACGAATGAAACACAGATGAGTAAATCTAAATGAAATTGCAGGCTCGAATGAAACTTTAATCCCCGCTGACGTGTAGCACGGGAAAATGATTTAAAGATAAAAAGACACGTCTCTTCCGAGATGAAAAGCCTGGGGGACTTGATACATTGCACCCGATCGCCCCATTTCTCCACGAAGATTTAATCTATTCCGAGCATTGCAACCCAATCGAGGTCTACCATGGATCCGAATTTACGTAAATCGAAAAGTTTCATAATGGAATCCACAAATCTCCGCGATTCGATCGTGTGTCTTATATACAGACAATCGTCTGGAAAGCTGACTACCGTATGTGAAACTAAGAATCGATGACAATATTTTCAACAGATAAGCGTAATCTATATTCGTTAAAAAGATAACGGCTGACTAACGGGATATCTGATGAGTGGTGGATGGAAAATTTCGTGTGTACACAGATTGTAACAGAAGTTTTAAACAAATTATCCGAGAGATACGGAAAGTGATGTATTATAAATGATTGGAGCCTTAGCCTGAAGATACAACTCTACATAGAGAAATAGCAGAAATAGTAGAAACAAGTAAATAATGAGGAACTTCATACTTATAGATTTTAATATTTAACGAGATGTAAGCAATGTAGTCTAGTCTAATCCAAAGTATTTCACGAAATGTGAGGCATGGAATTTATATGCAAATGTGTAATTCCATATATAGCATCTGCAATTTGATGCTTTATTTTTGTTACTTTCTATTAAAGGGTTGTATTGACAACAAAAATTGAAATTATGCTTCTAAAGAGCATTGTGCTTGAAAATACATTCTCTCTTACATAATTATCGTGCTTGCCTGCCACAATTGTCTGCACTTGTGTTTGATTGAAGAACATCACGGCGAAATAATTACGCCTTAATGAAGACGACCAGGAAAGCGCCAACGCGAACTGGCAAACCAGTCGGCAGGCATACCAATTCCACAATAAACTTCGTTAGTATTTTCGAACGTTGAACTTGACGAACAGTCGGTAGAAGCATATTAATAAGATATTTATCCTCAACCGCCGATAAAATTTAATTTAATTTAGAGGGAGTTACGTGACGCTAGAAAATAATGTCAAGAAATAACAGTAAAAATACAGTTCATGTTTACATATTAGCAAATAGACACTTGAGTTTAATGGTAATTTGTTCAGCAACTAAAGTTTTTCCCTTAAAAAATATATATTCTTTTAACGAAAGTTAAAAATCGTATCATCAGGTTGATATAAAATATAGTACTTAAACCTAAACTCTACTACTTAAGTTAAGTACTACTTAAACTCTACAACACTTTTATGTCACTATCGTGCTTATTAAGTCACATATTTTATCTTTATTCTAGCAATTTTGCGTGTTCCGAAACCCGTTCCGCAGTATTATTTAGGAATGGTTTAAAAATAAGCGCAAAACGGCGAATCGTTGGGCAGGTACCTACGACATTTTATCGATACGCCGCGGGCATTAAATTCCATAATGAAATTGGACCGTGACTGCGATCGTGGATATTCACGCCCAGATATTTATATAGCAATTAAAATGCGACCCGTTCGCGACATATGTATATAAATCAGTCATGAATTTCGCGCCGCTTTCATACTCTTTTCTCATACCCCCCGTCGTGGCTCTCGCCCTGATTGCGTTTAAGCTCTCTCGTGAACTGTCGGTTCATGGAAAGGGGCACGGTCGCGAGATAGTGCATTTATGGTCTATGTGCACAAAGAAAACAGCGTATTGTTTAAAATGCTTTATTGATGCACTCAATCGACAAGAAACATCGGTCTCTTTCAGTGCCTTCGGATAAGAACGTTATCATTATTGATATTAATTGTAAAGGAGTAGAGGAGGAAAGTTCCCTATTATGAGATAGACTCCTAATACGAGATAGCGGAGTTTCTGCTACTAAATTAATAGACGTCATTTGTTGGTTCCATCATGAATTTATTGCCCTCGGAGTGAAATCTGTTTAGTGGTAAATTGATTGTTAGATCATGTAATCGTTGCGAAAACAAGATTTATGGTTGAATTTGGATGTCGAAAACCTACCATCTCATATTATAATCCTATCTCATATTATAATCCTATCTCATAATAGAGCTTTCCTCTCTGTATGAAAAATTATTAAAATATTAGCCTCGCACAAAGAAAAGCATGGCAGAGAGTGGGGAAAAAGATATATGAGGAGGATAGAAATAAAAACCGAGAGACAGAAAAAGAGAGAGCGCTTTCACCATCGAAACACCTCATCGATAGCAGACGATAAACTATATGTGTATATGTGCTACAGATATTAATTTATATCGTGAATGATGAAAAATCATATATAACTTTACACCATAATTTTATATAAAACTAGAAATGACAAAACGCGCGCTTCGCGCGCGCAATTTGTAGTTGATTATTGTATATTTTTAAGAATTTGTATACGTGCAAATAAATAATTGTATGCGCAACGTCACTTTAAAGTAAAAAATAATTTATCACTCACTGATACGATTCGCAACAGCAGAGTTGTACATCGCTAACTGTATATGTTAAACTGTAAAAATACAAATATGTATTATGATTATTATAGGCTAATTATGTAAAATCAAAATTATTGTATTAAATATACTTTATATTTTATATTTTTTAAAATAGGTATTTATTAAAATAATGATATAGAATACTGAAAAGTCTTCCTTTTAAATATAAACTCACAAAATATGGTTTTGTCTCTAACACTTATTCGAATCCTCGTTCGAATTATTTGAATAAATAAAATAAAAACGCAGAACAGATAAAATCTTGCACAAGTAGCAAATAACATAAAAATGTAAGACACTCACCTTACCGATTTCTCCGCTGTTGCCCGATGCCTCCTGGACCTCCTCCTCCTCTCAGATTTCCTTGTTGCACTCACACAACACTCACTCGCGAAAATCATCGATCGCGCGAAATTTCGGGCACTCCCGTACGCGATGTGAAATACCGCGAGACGCACGAAATATTATTATTAACAAAGATCGCATGACTCTCTATCATACAAATTACTCAAACTAACAACTTGCATTACTGATTCGGAAGAATAGGACAATGGATAAGTCACTTTTGAATTGGCGATATAAAACGTAACGCGAGCATCGGAAACATAAACTGCGGTAAAGAAGAAGTTATTAGTCTTCAACGAAACGATATTTTACAACCTTTATCATTCAATCTAATTCTCGAAATAAATTATGTGAACGAAATTTTCAGCGATAAACAGTTGCTATTAATTGCAACAATTAATTGAGATAATTTTCGATTACATTTACATAATGTAACGACGTGCAGTGAGCGACTTTCTTTACTTCCCGCCCGTTCGAGTTGCGAAGAACGACAGAGCGAATTACAGCGCAAACACCGAAGTCGTGCAAATTTCTCTCTTTTCCCGAAAATGGATAATCGCAATTACACGATTACAGATTACACGAAATTGATAGTTAAAAGCACGGTGCGTAAACGAGATGTAACCGCGACAAAGTACCACGGTTTACATTCTTTAGATGAGTGTCTCGCGAAAGATACGTATACGTTGATAAAGAGCCGTCGCCTCAACATGCAAATCGTTTCTCATTACAACTTGTAGAAACTTAATAATTACTCGAGGAACGTTACTTGTTACTGATAAAGGTGTACAAATCAATAGCGTTTTATCCCTACGTTCATCGCGATCGAGTTTTGGAAACCGATAACGCAAAAGTAATACCACGCACGGAGCGACTCTCGCCACTGCCTACCGGCTCGAAAGTTCGGCGAGCGAGTGATAGCGCGGCGACCTTCAGGTAAACATTGGCCCGCGTAACGTCGTACGATACCGCGCCGAGTGAAAAACAACAAAAACGTTGAGAGTTCGTTGTCCCGCCTACGAAATGGAAAAATCCATACTTAATATTTTACATTACTTTGTTCCGTGACTGTTACTACGTTTTGCGTATCATTCCGTGGACTTATTGGTATTGATTAAATTAGTGATTTATTTCTGTTAATTCTGTTTAATCAAGAAAATGTTTTGAAACAAAAATCGTTGTTACTTAAATTCTAATTACTAAGATTAGAGATTTTTACCTGAATAGTTGGTGTATACAAATGTATATTTCTAAATTGCAAATCTTCATTTACGATGAATCTAAAAGAAAAGTGAAGCACACCACGCTTCGAGAAAAGCATCGCGGAAAAGAGGCCTCAACTGTTCGATATTAACGACATTCGCGCCGGTAACATCTCTTTTTAAAGCGTCGTCTACAATAACCGGCGTAAGCGTGGAGTAAGAAGTAAGAGTAGGAGTAACGTTTTTGGCGTAACTGAGTTTTCCTCCTGAAAATAATTCATTTCGCTTACGCCCTTACTCCAGCTCTCTTAAACCAGAAGTAGTTCTCTTAAGCGTCGTCTACAATAACCGGCGTAAGCGTGGAGTAAGAAGTAAAAGTAGGAGTAACGTTTTTGGCGTAAGCTGTTTACGCCGACTCAATCTACAATACGGTGAAGTAGGTGTTGTAGGCATGCGTGAAAAGGCGTAAGAGTAAGAGTAGGCGTAAGAAATAAAAATAATTCATTTCGCTTACGCCCTTACTCCAGCTCTATTAAACCGGAAGTAGCTCTCTTACGCCTGCTCTTACTTCTTACTCCACGCTTACGCCGGTTATTGTAGACGACGCTTTATGCATGGTCTACAATACGTGGAGTAAGCGTGGAGTAAGAAGTAAGGGAGAGCCCTAACTTCTAGCTTTTGGTGTAAGGAAGCTGAAATACGGGCATGATTTTTAAAATAATTGTAACACTGATTGATGGCATTTTGATTCACCGGGAGTAAGCCTAAGAGCTGAAGTAGGAGTAAGAAATAAAATGGATTTATTTCCTTACTCCTACTCCTTACTCCAGCTTACTCCATGTATTGTAGACCAGCCTTCACATTTACATTGTTGAGTGAGAAATTGTAACATAAATGCAATATAATTGATGCTCGGTGTTCACTGGGTAATACAAAGTATTTGCGTATGTCAACATTTTCTGTAAAAAGTTTTAGTATAACTGAGAAAATATCTCGAAATCAAGAATTGAAGTAAAGGTGTTTAACTTTCACGAGTAAAAAATCAATTGCCTAAAATATTATATACAATTAACGAATTTTCTGTAGTTATACAATAAATTAACAAATATAACTAGAGAAATAAAGCAACTTTTTAAGATGACTTCTCGAGTTACAGCGGTTTGTTTCAATTGGCATTGACAAAGTGAAAGGAAATCGTTATCCTTCGAACCTGATAATATAGAAATTAAAGCGACTGCATTACAATTTGTAATCGCTGATACAAATCTGAGTGAAGGCTTTTTTAAAGTTCCTAGTACACTGAAAGATCCATATTAATATCTCGCAGTCTTTTCCTACGTCAAATAAAAACTTTCCCTAAACGGGACAACAAAACTGCAGATAAAACCTTTTACTCATCGCGATTTGTTTTTAACGAACGGAAATTTAATGGTACCATCGCGTGGTCTAGGATTGTTGCATCGAATTTACTCGAGAGCGCATCTCAACATGCCATCCGAATTGGAATTGATCGCCGCAGCATGCGAAAATATGGGCATTGGCGCAAACGGCGATTTACCTTGGCGTTTAAAGTAAGATTATTAATAATTAAATGGCATACGCGACTGAATTCGAGGGTAGATTTGAACCAAGTAATTCGCACGTAGGACGGAAATGGCGTTCTTCACGCGCATGACGACTGACACAAAGGACAAAAATAAAAGGAACGTCGTGCTTATGGGCCGGCGCACGTGGGAGTGCATTCCCAGCAAATATCGGCCTCTGAAGGACCGTATAAACATGGTGTTAACATCGCAATCTCTGTAATTAGAGGTGTAATAAGATAAGAAAAACAATTAATTCCTCAGAAAGCAATAGATTGCACATTGATTTTAGGGATTACGGGGACGAGGCGATAGCGTGCAAGAGTATACCGCACGCTCTTGATGTGATTTCGGGAATGCAGAATCAAGTGGAAAGAATATGGGTGATAGGAGGAAGTAGCGTGTACAAGGTACCTTGTACGACAAATTAACGTAATCTACGCGCATTTTGAGAGACTAGGTCTGTCCTTTTTAGACACGATATAATAAGTGTTCTACATTTAAGCCTAATCTACAATGCACTTTGCATTTAAAAACATTCTATTTTGTAGTCAATAGATATGTTTAAAAAATTTGCGTAAATGGATAATAAATTATACACTGTACAATCGTACATTGTCGACAAACTTGTTAAGCGTTCGATTTGTTTATATAAAATGGAGTGTTTCTGGATGCAGAGAGCACATGTAGATTAGGCTTTAACGTGAAACGTGTACTCGAAGGAGAAAAAACTTTAAGAAAGCATAGTGACTAAAAAAACACAGATCTAGCATTGTAATAAAGGCGTAGATATTGGCAATATCCTGTATATAACAAATATTGTATTTAATTTCATATTAGAGCGCTATGGAATCTTCGCACTTTGGACGATTGTATTTGACGCGTATAAAGAAAAAATTTCAATGTGATACGTTCTTCCCGCCAATCCCGAACGACTTCGTGTTAATCGAGTGAGTATTGATTCTTTGCGTTAGTTTGACGTTTCGCATTCATTATTGCCACTTTTTAATAGCTAATAACAATTCCAGAGATCCAGCGGTGCCACAAGGTACACAGGAAGAAAATGGAATTGAATTTGTATATGAAGTGTATGAGAGAAGATAAACAGTAGAGCCACTTCCAGCCGAACTATAAATGAATGGGACTATTTTTATAAATGTATCTTTTGCGTCTGTAAAAACGGAATACCTATCGCGAGATATTATTGACGTTGTCAATTATGGTCTCTGTAATATAAAAAATATATAAACGCATAATAAATATATATTGATAGTAATTTATATATACAGACTTGGCCAAAAGTATTTGCCACCCCTCAATTCTTAGAAATGTAACTTCTTTCGACTCTAATCAACTATTTTCCATAGGTTTGTTTTCTGTTCCTGCACTGATGAACTAGTGCAATAAATTGGAGTAAGACAAGTATATTTTTTCTCATTCTAGCTTACTGCACTAGTTCACCAGTGCAGGAACAGAAAACAAGCCTCATAGTTACGTATCGGCACGCTAAACTGAGTAACCTAAACAAAGCATCACATCATAAATATGCAAGAAGTCGTGAAACGTTTACAGTGATAAACTTGAATTTTGCTCATATTTTACACATTGCCTAACGATTTCCAAATTATAGTGGCTTACTCTAAAGAATATCATTTTGCTATCAAAATGCCAAAAACGTGCGAATTGGATCTAGCTAAGCGTCTGAAAATACAATTACTTTTTGAGGAAAGAAAAATAAGATACAAATCGCAAAAATAGTGAAATGTCCTCATAGTACTGCGAGGTACACCATAAATCGTTATAAAAAGACTGAGTCATCAACTGGTACTGTTTATTTACCCTGAATGTAAAATAATTCCAAGTTATTGAGGTTTCACGTGGGTGGCAAATATTTTTGGCCAAGGATGTACAGCAGCACCGGCCAAAATTACATCACCTTCACAGGTTTTCTGATCACTATTGTCAAAATGCATCGAAGATACTCAAAATTTTACAGTAGACGCCTGATAACTTGTACATCTTGTACATGAAGGGTAATGAAATTGGACAAAATATACTGAAATACAACGCACGGTTTTCGAATCTTTCATTCGTGCACTTTAAAACTAGTTGTGCTCAAAAAATCGAAAGGTGACACATGATTTTAGCTGGCACTGTGTCTATGTTATATTATGCAATAGCCCCTTTAATCATATTCTTTTACGTTTATCAACACTTTATTAATAGAAAGTAGAGACTTTACGAAAACCACGTTTATATATTTAAGCGTATAAACATGTTAACCGGGCGGCCACTCTAACTGTCGACCACCAAGAACGTGCAGATGTAAATGGTACACAGACTGCGCTCCGTGTTTCCCGTCGTTGACAACTAAGCGAAATCCGTTTGTCAGGCCTTTTTGTTTCGCAATTTTATGAGCGACGTTCATTAGGTGACCGAGCAACGGCTCGTCCTTATCTTGAGCTTTCGAGAGCTGCGCAATCGGCTTGCGTGGAATCACCAGGAAGTGCACGGGCGCTTGAGGATTTATATCGTCAAAAGCGACACACTGCAAATCATAAGATACATTTAGTAAGTCAATATTTATATCAGCATCGCGTCAAACGACAACCACTGAATGTAATCCTTATTGAAGAAAAACGTGTTTACGGATCGTTCTCTGCCATCAGCCTATCTCGATAGACTCAAGCAACTACGGTTATATAACAATTATAAGCAGCAAAACAGTAAATATCAAGTCATTTTAAATAATTAGATTTTACTGTACACGCAAGTTTAAGTGCAATACTTGATGAATAGATGGACATACATAATACAAATCAACTTCTAATATACTCGTAGGAACATATTTGCAGCGTTTATGTTAGCTAGGCCTCCCGTAGCGAGGCAATCGTGTGCAAGATAACGTTTAACACTTTCGGCAACGAGTCTGATGCAGACCGTGTCCGAATGACGCCGGCAAGGTGGATTCGTCGTGTAATTCGACAAAGAGATGCGATCCTCGCGTGCCACGCCGCGGCTTACCTGGCTGTCCTCGTGAATAAAGTTGCACGGGATCTCCTTGCGTATCATTTTCCCAAATATCGTGTCGCCTTCCGGCGCGGCGGCCTGTGCCTTCTCCACCTCGGTCGCCATTTTCCTGCGACTGGCGGAGCAGACAACCGGCAGGTTGCCACCAACCGCCAGATGCTTGCGCGCATTCGCGACGACATTCGACAGCAGCCTCATGTTGAAAATCGATGACGTCGTCGTCGTGATTTTGTGACAAAATCAGTAATGTGCCTGTCGTTAACTTCGTGTTAAACGTGCGCGCGTTATGAGGCTTTCTTTCGACTTCTAGGTTCCATTTTATTACGGCCCGAAGATCGTTACGATACGCGTCCATCGCAGCCGCGATCGAGATCTCGAGGCGCGAGTTTCAAATCCGAAGACTGCTGGAAGTCCAAAAACTAATAGCAAATTTTACCGACTACGAAATATTTCAAGAGATATTTAAGACGATCTTTAATATAAGAATTGCCGGTAAACAGGCCTTAGTTGTGCACTCAGTGCGCACTAGCGTATAAGCAACCGAATTTGCTATAATTAAACGACCGCTCTTTCTATATTTCTTCACGATTGCAAAGAGTCGAGAAGGGATATACCGCGTGCAGATTGCTCACAGACCAGAGTTTTGCATGATAAAACTACAAAACTTTTATTTCGTAGGACAGTCTTCTCTTAATAATGCGCTTATCCATTTTCGACATTCTTAACACAATAATGCATCCTAAAGGTACATAAATATTGTAACTTATTGCTTTATACACGTATCGTCGATATTGTACATTAGTAAAAATACGCTATTAATGATTGCAATGGCTCGTGGTACATACAAAAGTATAATGGCAGTGCGCTTTCTGGTTTTCTCCGGAAGATCCTTAAATCATTCCCTAACGGGTCGCAAAGGCCCCAGTCTTAGAAAAGTAATTCTACTTGTAAAAAATATACATAGCGTTACCTTAGATTTACACTAATTTCGCATCGAACCGTAAAACTAAAAGGGTATGTGCATTAATCGCTTTTGTATTTCTAATAGGATTTACGCCGCAGCTATGCGTATCTTACGTAAGTAATATAAATGTTGTGCATACAATTAAACTATTAACTGCTAAGTAATAACTGCTGTGAAATAAACAAAAAAAAAAAGAATTACTGAGAGGTATAAATCATGTCATAATATTGTATAATGTTATAAAAAGACGACTGGCTGAAACATTAAGAGACATTATTATGTAAATAAATAACATATCAAAAATAATAATAATAATCGTCTCGTCTTTACATTGTACATAAAGGTATACGTAGGATAAATTAACTTAAATATTATGACTTATACTCCTATTTCGCAAACTCGTTAGCTTATTATTTTTACCGTTAACAACTTAATTACACAAGGCCAGGTTGTATGAAAGTAAGGGATAATGACTACTATTCAATACAAATTTAAATGCTGAATGAATTAATAATTATGTAGCATTTATACGCACGAGTGATTGCTAATACTCGGATTATTAGATATTTAATAATCAACGTGTTACTAGTAATTCTACGTGTGTACTTAAATCTTTTATACTGTGGACGCTTGAATGTCATATATACTTATCTTCTTGAATATAATTACGTCAGTCTGGGTTTGCCAGTTAATCCAGCAATAAGTCTAGATAACTTATGGAACAGTCATTGTACGTCCTCCTCGGAAAAGTATCGGTGTCTTACGGCTTGAGCTGCAGTTATACGACTATGAGGATCAAACATGAGCATACTCCTTACTAAGTCTAATCCATGTTCATTGAGATCTGGTATTATTGCACCGAGAGATTTGGGTGGTCTGTACGGGAAAGCTGTCCAATTGAGCGATACATTCTCCGGCCACGCCTGCTGCGACGGAGTACCCAAAACTCTGAAACGGAAGGGCGCGAAATGTATGATGTAGAAGAATATCAGGGGATGCAGATTTTATTCGGGAGGTAAAAGAACAGAAGGTATACTCACTCGAAAATCCTGTCCAGTTGATCACCCTCGCTAGTACCTGGGAATAACGGTTGTAGCTTGCAAAGTTCTGCCAGTATGCATCCGACAGACCAAACGTCTACAGGAGTAGCATAGGAACATCCTAAAAGTACTTCGGGTGCTCGATACCATTGGGTTACAACCTAGATGTACGAAATATCACGAGGGTCTATCAATATCAAATTTTACCAATGGCTATATATGCATAAATTAATAATATTTTTACATCGCTTTAATCTCGTTAAAGAGGAGATTGTGATACAAATAAGCTCAATTTAAATTTTAAATGGCACGGTATTTTCGTGCGACAATTCAAAATATAATTTGTTCAGATATGTGTGGCCGACAAGTGCGAATTAGTAATACGTTGTATGCGACATCCACGTACCACGGAAGTTAATCTCATCTCAAAGTCGTAAGTCTTGGCCAGACCGAAATCCGCGATCTTGATCGTTCCTTCCCGCGTTACCAAAAGGTTTTGCGGCTTCAAGTCTCTGTGCATTATCCTATGGCTATGTAGGAACTCTACCCCATAGAGTATCTCTTTCGACATTTGCCTCACGAGATACGGCGGGATGCTCGATCGCGGCGAGCTACTCCGGCAATGAGCTATGTACGAAGCGAGATCTCTTTCCACGTGTTCAAACACCAACCAGAGGGTGAGACCGCGGTCCAGCCTTTCGGATCGTCCACCATCAACCGACGGTAAATCAAGATAATCTCCTTGGCAGACATCCAATAATCTGACCTGGGTAAACGAGCAAACGTACAACATAATCAATAAATAAATATTTATTAACTAAAGAAAAATTGCATTACGATTGAAAGGTATCTTACAATGTGCGGGTGTTCGTATCGTTCGAGCGACTTCAGGGCGGCAATCTCCCTCAGCGTGGAAGTAGGCAGACCGTCTTCCGTCAGAGGTATCCTGACTTTCTTAAGCGCGACGATTTGACCGCTGGTCTTATCCTTAGCTTTGTACACCGTCCCGTAAGCGCCGTTCCCGATAAGGGAGAGATCCTCGAACGACGCGTGTTCGCGCAGCAAGAAACTTTGTACCGTCGTCTCCTCTGGTCTCTTTCCAGAAGGGCCAGACAGCTCGCCCTGATCGCTGTACTTCATCACAATGAATTTCCACGTGCCGGGCTGTTCTTCCCCCGAGGTACTCGGGATTGCTTCCGCCGCGATCGGCGCGGCACCGCTCTCTCGTTCGGGGAGATCCGTGCGGGTCGATTTCGGGGACGTTTCACCGATCAGAACCGATTGTTTCGACGTTCCCGCTTGTTCCGTAACATCTGAGGATCGTTTGTCCTCTTTCCGGACGAGCGCAACCTCCGCCTGAGGAGATACCTCACTTGTCGTCGGCGCCTCGGCACTTTCCACTTCCGTTAGATGCTCCTCTCCGGACGATTCGGACGAGGCTTCGGATTGCTTGGGTCTCTTTGGGGTAGTTGGCGTCGATAAATCTGGTTCGAGCTCTGTGCTCGAACGTCGCGACCTACCAGCCATCACAACATCTCGACTTCTACCTGAAAAAAGTTTCGTCTTATTATCGATGGAAGTAATAAAACACGGAAATTTCTTAAACGAGAAAAAAGAAGACTTGTAGTTCTGCCCGACTCTTGTATTTCGAATTTTTAAGGCGGTATTTCTAGGGTATCCTAGGGCGGAAAAAAATGTCTATAAATAATTAGAAAAATTGACTTAAAATAGAAATTTGTAGAAATTTTTATATCCTCGTTGAAACATTTATGTTTTTGTAAAAATATCTACGAAATGGTACCACAAATTACAATGTTCAAATAAAAAAATTATTGCAAGTATAATATTTCATGAAAATGTACAATTTTGTAAAAATTAGTACAAAACGTTACTAGTTTTAAAAATTTGAGAAACAACAAAATCTTAAAGAATGAAAACATCTGCTTACTTGTAGAATATTACAAAAATTAACAAAAGTGTTCCAATTCTAGCATTTTCATGTTGATTTTCATAACACTTTTTATATTTACGTAGAATTTCTTAGATTCTGGCAGTTATATTTTATAGTTTTGTAGTATATTTTATATTTTTGTACAATTATTTCCGGCAGGGTATTTTCAAAAAGTTTTTAAGTAATTTTCCATCAAGCGCAGTAAAATGACATGAGTAAATAGGAAAATATTTGTGGACAAATTCACAACCACATTTATTAAAATAAAAGCAGTAACGTAAATAAATAACGTAGGTAAAATCTTCTTATAATTCTTCTAATCTTTGCTTTGAGTTTGTAAATCGACATTCTTTAAAGATAATGATTCAGGCATAAGTTGAGACGTGTAATTCGATAGAGCTCAACAGTTTCGCGTTGCAGACGTGGCATACAAACGTAAACATAAATTTCCTATGCCACGAGAACTGTATCGATTTCAATAAGCTGCAATTTTTTTGCTAGGCAGAATTTAACAGAAATTTGTATTATCCTGTACGTATATACTTTAGTATAACAACTATATAGATATTTATTATAATTTATTTTCCAATCGTAAACACAATAATAAGCGACAATTATTCAGAAACAAACAGCTAAAGCCTCAGAATTAAGCCCGAATTTTTCGACGGGTATTATTTTTGCTCGTTAATTACAATCCTTACTGATCGTCTACGAGATCCATGACAGATCCGCATTAAGATCTACGCGGAGAGATCTGCGCGAAAACGAGATATTTGTACAGTCGTGCTCGCGACACCCGGGTTCGCGTATCGTCAGGCAAATGCCCGGCTTGCTTCTCTCTTTCGCTAGCGTTTTATTAAAATTTCGAGACGGTACCGCAAGCGGGACGTGCGATCGTGGCCGTCTGCTACGCGACATCTGCACCGACACCTGCGCTCATATAATAGCCCGGCTATGCCGGCCTCATCGTCGGCTTTCCAGAACATCTTGTGAACGCAAGGGAGGCCTTAAACCCCACCCGGGGTCCTTGCCCTTTGTCTTCCTCGCTCGGGTCCAGCGACAGTAATTGGTTGCGCGAAAAATATCGGTTTAAACTACGGTATTGAACCTTGACTGACGGAAATCCACAAAAAGAAGAAATACATCAGTCATGTCTCACCGGACCAGTACGCTATTTTCTTTCGAAACCTCGGAATCCTGAATTTTTCGCTGTCTTTTGCAATACGTAAAAATTGGAGAGTAGATCAAGGCCTAACAAGTCGTTGTTTATCATCGTGAAAAATATCGGTTAAATCACGATACTGAACCTTGACTGACGGAAATCCACAAAAAGAAGAAATACATCATTCGTGTCTCACCGGATCATCAGGCTATTTTCTTTCGAAACCGCAGAATCCTGAATTCTTCGCTGTCTTTTGCAATATAATTGGAGAGCAGCTCATACCTGACAAGTGGTTGTTTATCGTCATGACGTTCATTTCGTGACACTTGATGGCTATCTGTTTTTATGTTCGAAATTGATCTTGGTTGCGAGCTACGTAAACTGATAATTATGAATGATGTCTCACACTTCTGCGAATACGTCGACTTGATTAGCGCGGAAAACTGTGACGACCGGGTCGAACGAGAGAGGAAGTTAGAGATATTGGGCCGCGAAGAGATACGAAGCCACGATAGGGGAGATCCGTGTGGCATAATTTAAATGGTTTAAATAGCCGGATGCCGAAAAAAAGACGCCCGCCTTCGTCCAGAGGAAATAATAAACTATGCGTTGTTATCACGTTGTAATTTCTTAGCGGCACATGGCCGTCTTTAGACGCTAGCCTCGATGATAGGCTATGGGAAAAGACGACCGGGTATAGATAATACAATGCCATTGATTTAATATCACAAACTAGCGTTTCTGACTCACACTGGCGAACGTTTCGCCACATCGGTTTTGTTCCTATATTGGAGCCTTCGCCACACATCAATCACAAATATATTCTTGTACGTCACGAGATAATTTGATTCTGTCGCATTTATGTCCATATCTACCAGTGCTTAGATTAACGTTAATCTCGGGTTACCTTTCGTCTCTTTCCAAATGCCCACTTCTAGCAATGCAGATTAATAAAAATCCCTGTTTAACTAAGTTTTTATCTTTTCCAATTCCCGAAACTAGAAAAAGATAAAAAGTAAGTTAAACCGTGATCAAAGTTAATCCGCGTTGGTAGAAAAGGGCATAAGGCTCTGAGAAGGCCCGGTTTCACCAACGTTGTTTAACTTTAAGCTTAACTTAATTCGTTCTTTGTCTCTTTCCAACTTTAGAAAGGGACAAACATGAATTAAACTAAGATTAAGCGACGTTTGGTGAAACCAGGCCTTAGAAAAAGATAAAAGTGAGTTGAACCGAGATTAAAGTTAATCTACATTGCTAGAAATAGCATTAGTTGAATAATGATCGTATTAATAAAATGTTATGGCTATGAATGTTAATGCAGACGTAATGTCGAATGACCGATATTGATAGTTTTAGAGAAGAAACGCCCCGCAAGCGGATGTACTCTCTCTCTCTCTCTCTCTCTCTCTCTCTCTCTCTCTCGGGGCTTTGATTAAATTCTTCTATCAACTTCCGCTTGCGATAAGAAATTCTCAAGCGGAATTCCGAGCGGAAGGAAGGAAAGAGCGAGACGAACGCACGAAAGAAAAAAGCCGACTTCCACATCGCGAAAATTTTTTTCGCAATGCCGGGCGAGAGAAGGAAAAGAGATGCCCCCGTAAGTTTCAAGGGGTCGTTGTGGGAAAATTCCAGAGGGCGAGATCTGTCGTAAAGAAGCGAAAGGGGGGCAGAGAGGGAAACGTGTAGGGCAATTCACGGAATTGGAGAAGAACGTGTCTTCGTTTCTGGGGGCGACCGAGCAACTTCGTATGTACAGAGCGCATTTTCATACGACATTATCTCAAGACCACCTTCCTGGAAGAGGCAGATGTTTCCACGGTTTCGTGTTGGACAAGAAGGAGAAACAGCGAAGTCGATAAAGCACAGTCTAGCAATACTTTTTTTTTCAAACACCTTTCGAGAAGATGCAGACGTGTACCCCGCCCGTCTTTATAATTACTTTTCGTTCGTATTCATTTCTATTAGTGAACGCAGTGGTGCCGTCAATTCATTTTCGCTGGCAATGCAATGCATTTGTAAATAGTATCTGCGTACTTTGCACATGTTGTTGGAACATAGGGGAAACTCAAGGGAAATACTAACATTTCGCATCATCGTGTGTCATTTTTTATTAATGCAAGTAGATAATTTGGATGGTAATCGTACAAAGAACATTCGCTTTCTCCCGCGAGTCTCTAAAATCATTTAAAAAACAAAAAGAGCGGTGTTTTATCACTGCAAAGAACTTTCCATTTCATTTTACAACACAAGGCTGCGATATCTTGTGCTGCAATACTTTTGACTTCTAATAAATTCATCGATCGTGCGAATTTCCAAAAGTTGCCATTTACGCTGGAAAATATTGCGTAGCAGCGAAAGGTTTGCCGCAAAGTATTCTTTGGGCACTTTGAGCGTTTGAACGGAACACACACACACACACACACACACACACATACACACAATAGATGCCTCTCCGAGAGGTCTCCGTTTTATTGTCCGCAGAATCTTTTCTGCTCTCTCGCTATTGCGAGGCGCAGGAGAGGATACGATATTCTTCCACATTGTCGTATCCAGGGTCACATAAAAAGGACGAGAACGGTCCGAGAAAGTTGACGTAGTAGATAAGCGGTGGGAAACGCTCCACGGGAAAACTGATAACTCGAAAAGTATTCGTGCTAGATAAACAGCCGCATACGAGAGAGGACACCAAAGGGAGAGCACGGAAAGAGTATTTAACTGAATCTTGACTTAACCGTCTTGACTAAACTGAGACGTACGCGTTGACGTATCGACTCGACTCGGCGTCGAGATGTAAAGTAGTGCTCGTCTTGGAAAAACACGACTTCCGCTGGCAAATTAGATAACGTAAGAACTCTCGAACGTCGGAATGTCGAGTTACTCAATCTTCTTATCGTATTGCTCGGCGAAGTACACACGACGGTTACACACTCGACAAAATTTCCATGTATAAATAGATCCGAAATTGAAAGAAACGATGCAACGGCGGGCAACGTCCCGATTTATATACGTCAGCGTTAATTTAAATGGTACGAATTTACTTTATACGTGTCTAAGTACCTCGAGATGTAAGACATGAAAAGGTGGAAAATAATATCAAGCGGAAATTAAAAAAAGAATGGAACGGACGAGGCTATTAAAAAAAGTTACGCTTATTAGAGAAAATATTCCGTTTAAATCTCTCGCTACAATCTTTGCATATCTCGAGAAAACGAGAAAGAGGGTAATGATGCCCTCAGCAAATATCGCGTCACGTTACACCATAGGGAGTTTGTTTCCCATCGGAGTCGTAAGGTGGCAGAGAACGATCCGTAAACGCTTAAGGTAGTTATTTCGTAAAATCATTTATGTGAGAATTGTTTCAAATTTCTACAGTTTATTCTTTACGTTAATACGTGCAAAATAAGACTGATTAAATTAAAATTGACCGACTGAAA